GTGAACACGCAAAGCTAAGTCGGTGTCGCAAATAGGGGGCTGTATGACTAATAAAGTTAACCCATTCAACCATGCGTTGGGGTTGCGAGGCGCCTTCACCAATGTAACGCTTCAACGCCTGTTAGCCCACTCTATTGGAGGCGGAGGGGAGAGGTACTGTGACACAAACGCCACCTTCCACTTTGTTTTGCTTATCTGAGCGGAACCCGACAGTTCAAGCATCAGATAAGCACCGACGTAAACCAAACCAGAGAGAGAAGAGGGGAGTGAATGGTTGGGGTTTGTAAACTGCCACACCAACCCCAATAAAAATACTCGCCAGTCCGATGTAACCTTCGTTCCTTTCTTCCCTCTCCTTATAACATTGATGACCTTGAGAGATTGTCTCTTAACTAAACAGGCGCCTCGACATATAAGTGCAAAGGTCCAAGCAGAAACAAGGATGGGTTCATTCGCTATACAAGGACATGCTATTTATTGATTAATATTATTATAAAGCACGATATAAAATAATACCTCAAAGTGAATTAGGGAAAGACAAAGGAAACAAAAATGTGAAAATAAAAGTTTAAATGTTAAAACATCACCCATGCTTAGTTTGAGGAACTTTTGTGATTGCAACTATATCTTACGCAAAAAAGACGTACTGAGTAAAACCGAATATGATCTTTTTAAAAAAGAGGAGCCAATAACGAAGCATGAGAGCTGGCCTGTAGTGTCGAAAAGTACAGATGTGTGATTGATAGGGTGCATTTCGAACAGATAAGCAGAATCGACGGGATTGAATCGGACAATCCAGTATTTAGAACTTTTCATTGAATTGTAATTTTGGTTCGAAAACTGAGCCATTTCTTTTAAGAAGTAATAACCAGACAGAGGCGACTTAAAGCGTCAAAAAACTGGAAGCACAGTGACATTATAAACGAGTTGAAACTCGAAAAAACTGCGGCCAGTGAGTGTGCGCGGGGTGGAGGAAGAAAAAACCATTGCCATTTCTTTTAAAAGGGTCTGCCCCTTTTAGAAAGGATTGTGGTTCGCCCTTACTGGTGCATTCTAAATGGCCTGTCCTGCATTTGCACCACCTGTCTTCCTCCCTTCCGCACTCTCTAGGGATGCGGAAAAGAGGGAGAGTTGGAGGGAGAGAGGGAGGGAGAGAAAACTTTTTTGCCTCCGTTCTTGACTGTTCGTTCCTCCCGCACTCCCAAAGGTAAAAACTGTTCTTCGCTCCTGTGCGTGTGTAACAATGAAGACCATTTTAAACGAACTCAGCGAAGGGGCAGGCAGAAAAACCGATTGTCGGTAGGCTGTAATCCCAAGAGAATGACCACAAACGGCACGAGTAGGTAGAATAAAACAGGTCTGCAAGCCTATGCTTTGGAGATACTCCATAAAGCTTGAACAGTAGCAAGCAATTTATAAGCAAAGAATGCGTAGACAGATTGATGACAATCTAAGCTCAATATTCAGACACGGACGGCAAGTAGAAACAATAATAATGATAGTTAATTTCGAATTCATTTTCTGCTAATGTAATGATGAACCAGAGGCTTCGAACAAGGACAAGATTAGAAATACGTTTGAAATTACGATTATCTCAGCAACTGGGAATACGTAGGAATTGTCCGAGCAGAAGATTAAGAAGGTTTGGGAATGGAACACAAGAGGCACTGAGGAAATTGGATGTCACGTCATTGCAGTACCTCTTTTCACTGTACACAAACAAATGCCATGAAAAGGAATGGGCGAGGGGAGTTAAGGCCATGACTAAATAAAGAGGGGAAAAGAGAGAGAAGGCAATTAGACGGTCTGATGGGATGGTTGCCCTTCGTGACGAGCACGCATTGACTAGTGCCCTGCTTCCTCTTACACTTCCTCCTCCTCCTTCTCCTACTACTACCACTTCTACTACTCCCGCGGACAATCGTATTCCTTAATTATAAGGCCGTGATGCTCGCTTTGGGGAATTCACTTTTGAACTTTGCAAGAACAGTAGAGTGCTTGAAATTGTCACCATACCAATGACAGTCAAAACAAGAACAATCCCAAGTGAAAGCCCAGTGGGAACGAACATGCAGCTCGGAGAGTCATATGGAATGGTAATTTTGTTTACTGAATTTCATAGGTCATCACTGTCGCAGGGAATGCTTACCCATTGCAATTCCATGACTTAAATGGTAAATACTCAAATAAACTAAGTTTATAGTGCGGAATCAAACACGAGCGCTATTTCCTTCATGGCTTGCAGTTGATCGTTTAGGGCGGCACCACTCGAGAAAGAGCCTCCCTTTATTGATGTCACTACTACCGCAAAGGTCCACAGGCCTACATAGGAATTAAGTGACTCATTTAACAGTGTTGAAACGGTAGAGGGAGAGGTTTTTGAGAGCTGCCCTCTCTCCTCCCCTCCCTCATTCCCTTAAACACAAATATAGTTTGTGCCGCCTCCTTCAGTGCGAATTGCTCTTTTTATCACCTGGCTTTTCCATAATATGGCCACCTGGAGAGAGGGAGAGCTGTCAACGCGGCACGTGCACTAAGTGTTGTGTCGCCATGATGTAGAATGAGTGCTCGACCACCCACGAGAGAGTGACCACGCGCACCAGTCACCGGGCCGAAAGCAACGCTATGGGTGGTCGACTTCCGTCTGGACCGATCACAACAGTGCCAGCTTTTGCCTGTGGGGTGGGGGAGGAGGGTTAGAGGGTGGAAAAGGGAGAGGACCCACTTTATCCGAAGAGCGCCACTTAATCAAACGCTCATCAACTAAGATTAGCCTAAGATGGGACCGATAAAAAGACTAGTTCCTTTGGATGAGAGATTTAGAAGTAACGGCACTCTCGATCTAGCTAAAGTCCGGGCCACCAATAATTTTGCATTAACCAATCCTTGAAAGGTTATAATTTTCTAAAAAAGCAAATAAAATAGATTAAAGTTGAACTTTATTGCTTCATGTAAAACAATGGAGGTGAATATTGTGCATGATGAGGAATGGCGAAACATGCAATTTTAGACGACGCTCTCCATGGTAAGCAGTTTTTTCCTTATCCTAAGGAAAATCAGAGTTCAATGAACTACATTAATTGGTAGCATAAAATGTTAACGTCAATTGAGCGGTGGTTCAGAAAAGCCAAACTGTTAAGAGGACCTAAAATAAATGTTGCCAAACTTGAAAAAAATTACTCAACACAAAATTTCGATAAAGTAGTCCCAATAGTAGATGAATTTATAGTGCGATTCCTTATCCGGTTGAAAAATTGCATTCCACAGCAGTGAGTGCTATGCCAAAGCATTGACCGAATTTTGGGTAGAAGAAAGGAATCCGACAACATTATTCAACACAAGTAAGCACAATCAGTGGATTTGGATTTGGGAAATAAGGTGAAGCAAGCGAAGCAAGCGGTGGGGGAAAAGGGAAGAATTGAGTGAAATGAACTGCACACAGCCGAAGAGTATACCACAGTGTTTGGGTCAGTGAGGTTTGCGCAAAAGTTGTTCAAATGCTCAAAACGTTAATAGCAGTGGAGTCAAAAACCTGAACTGATCGAAATGGGACATTTTGCAGCCACTAAGAACGTAGGCATGAAGTCATTGCATAGAAGAGGTTGGTGAGATTGTTTTCAAACTTTCGTCACATTGGATCATGTGTAGTGAACCAATAACTAAAACTACTACGACTAAGCACCTCGTTAACATAGATGCTTTGGTTGAACCAAACACGGTGCCGCAAAAGACACAGAGAGCATTTTCATAAAACAATGCCAGATTAATATAATGATTCATGCAAAACAATCACATAGAGAGAAGACGGTGCGTTAATTTTAAAACATGGTGTTTCATAATTTTCAATAAGGAAAAACTTACTGGAACAGCCCATCCCAAACTAATGTTGTTGTCTGACGAACTATCTTTCTGTCTAAACTTCATTAAAAATGGCCTACTTTTTGTGTCCTACTTTCCGATTTCAAGAGTTCGTCATTTAAAAGTCATAGCTAATTAATTGCATAAGTCGAAACGCCTCATTACAGTTTTTAAGACGGGATTCTCTCGATTGAGAAAGACGCTGTCGGAGCCCAGAGAGAACTTAGGTAAATATTTAACCAAGTAGCAATATTGAAAAGGGCGAAGACGTGAGAAGATATCCGATGCGTTAACAACCCAAAATGCTCTTGTGATATCTACGGAAGTGGAATACTATCAAAATTGGAAGCCTTTGGTGAATAGCTGTTCGGAGAGAGTGAAGAGGCACGGTGCAGCATTTATCGATAGATCGTGCATCAACACAATAACCCGAGGCAGACGTGCGCGCAATTGTGTGTACGTGCACAAGAAAAGGAGGAAAAGTAATCAGCCGGGCCATTTGACAAAACAGCAATATTACCACACCCTACCATCACCCAGACCACCCAGGAGGTTCGGTTGTGGTGGGTACGTGAATACAGAGAAAGTTGTTTGGCTGGAGGATTGGTGTATTGTTAATTAAATTTGTCAAAGGTGGGTGGCCTGACAGGAAATAGGGAAGAGGGAAATGAGTCGGACAGAAGGGAGATGGAGTTATTTTACAGTGGCCCGACTACTTCCTCTCTCGGCCACCCACGTGGATAGGACAAGCTGTTTTTATTACTGCTGTCGTTTTCATGGTCTCTCTAATGACAGGTTATTTGCACAGTACTTGAGGCATAAATTAAAATCGAGGTTTCTAGGATGAAAGGCTTGCCAGAGGTAAGTGCAGAGACTCAGTTGTATCATAAAGGGGAGGCGATCCTGTCAATCTACCCTAGAGAATTCATGGAAGCACTACGAATGCATAAAGTCTTTCAAGCCAGTGTGCGAGAAAAACCATGTCGATAAGCACCTCCAGATGTACAAGTATTACTGCTACAGCCGAGGCTCTTAAAAACATGGGAAATGTTATGGTTGCTTATTTTACAATATTAACAGAGTTTGTAGTGTGAAAAGCAGGAGGATTTCTTACACTATACTGAGCAGTGGGGCTACTGAACTTACCCGGAATGCATTTTAATGCTGTTGGACAAGTTGGCTGCAACAGTTCGCAAGATTGGCTGAATGCGATCGCAAGAGAGGAATCCTTCGTCATCACTACTGCCGCTTTTACCTGTTTCAACACGGGCGGCAGTGGAGATTCCCAGGAGAAGCACCAACTCCGAATGGATGTGAGAGAGATTACACAGAGCTGTGATCATTGCACTCCGGAGAGCTGTACAGGAGCAGACAGACAAAAAATAATGATGTCTACTCCAAGGGTAAACGAAAAAGTTCAGTACACTCACTACACCTTATAGATGGTCAAGTGCAAAACCAATAAAGTAAATGCTGACAAATCAAAAGACGACCAAAAATTTAACAAGCAAATTCAACAGACTAGAATGCATATTAAGATGGAAAACATGAGACTCAGCCTATAATAACACAAACAAACAACCACCAGATGATGGAATTCAAAAACTACCGAGAGGTTCTTTAAAAACAGTCGAACTTGAAACCAGACGCTTAGGGCTTACCCACTAAAAGTATCCCATTTCAAAAAGCTTACCTCTTGGACAAGGAAAAAGGAAATGACTTTCAGAGTACGCAAATCTCAATAGCCAACTTACTTAAGTGTATCAGGTCTACACAATGAAAGAAAAGTTCTATGACCCCCATTTTAAAACAATCACAGTAATAGGGAGCGGCATGCACAATTGAGATGCGGTCACACAGCAGTGAAGCTATCACGATAGGAACTTAGTACTGAAACCAAACAAGTAGAACGACTTACCGTTGTCGGCATTGGTCATGTCTAGGGGCGCACAAAGCCATGTAGTGCGGATACTGACGTAAAGATCGATGAGCTTTGCAGTGGCTGCATGCCATGAGGAGGTGACACGCGATTTGAGGTCACCGACATTGGAGAATCCGGCGCTGGCGTAGGCACTAAAGACGTGGGAGTTCGCATACCGCGCCGTCCAGTCAGCATTGTTCACTAGCAGAAGAACGCCGCGTGCCTGCCAGAGGTACATTAAGTCAAAGAAATGATCTTCACAAAGGGCGTGGGGTACCCATGATCCACCCCTATGATTAGTTCAATGGCCCAGCTAAAAAAATGTGGTCTTCATATGAAAAGTGTCCCTTGCCAAACAGACCTGCTAAGATTGGAGTCAAGAATGGTGCTTAACGCATTTGTCATGGTAATGATTATATGCTCAACAGAATGAAGAAAATGCAAAATAACAATGAATTTAAACAGTCGACTAACAATTCGGACCGCCATGATTCATAGAGTTTGTTTGAACTGATACCTGAGATGGGGAGAGCGATGTCTTCCTTCTAGGATATAAATCCACTGATGAAGAGTAGTAAGTGATTAAAAGGTTTATACAGGGGGCTTCTTTAAATATGTATCGCCAATTGAATTACGACTCAGTGAAGCAATAATGCATTAAGAGAATGCGTAGATGTAATATCCTAGAGTTGGGAAAAGGTAAAGAGGTACAAGGTTAAAATGCTGTGACCAACAGGGAAGTTATTGAAAAGTTGAAAGACTGTATCTCAACCTGATTAGCAAAGGCAAGAGGCCAGAAAGGGTGTTTGGGAGATGGAGGAACAGGCAGGACAAAACGATGAGGAAGCACGAGGCGGGTTAATTAATGAGAACAGACAAGCGGAAGCGAGTGAGCGCGCTTGTGCTACTTCCTGTTCACCGGTCACTGAGTTAGTTCTCAACCTCGTCCCCCATCATCGCTCATACTTGTAACTCTGGCGTGATTTTGGGAGAAGGAAAGGAAGTCACTTTAATTAAGCAGGAAGGGAGAGGTGTTGCAAAATTGAAAATTCCGAAAAGTTATGATAGAATGAAAAGGCAGCTGAGAAATATTACTTACTACATGAAATTACTACCATGCATGAGCTATGGGCTGAGGGCCCAGTATACGTTTTATGAGTAACGTATAGTTTATAAGCCAGCCACTAAGCCGCCAAGTTCACTAGAATGCAACTGAAGGCGACACAACGATCCAGGAGATGGGAGATTTGGACAAAATCCAATAAAGTTCGATTAAATGAAAAAAAATAGGGCTGTACAAACTAAAAAGGAATCGCAGAAAAGCAGCATGGACAGCTTAAGCAAATGATAATGGTGTGCTACTAATATAGGGGAATTAAATGTACATATCATGCTAAATATGTATCTCAAAAACCAGACAATTGTTTACACTGTAAGAAGCATAGACTAATACGTGAAATAAATTGATGGTAGATGCGTTATAGCTAAGTAGACCGTTTATTTAGGCGCATTTGTGCACCAAATCTACTCGCGCCATGGTTCCGTCGAAGGCACCGGAAAAAAGAAACAAACAGAACTATGGAAAAACCCCGTATACAAAAAGTAGTTAATCGGCACTGTTAAAATTAACACAGAGGCTCCTAGCAATGCATCCACGATGAAGTTATGCCAGAACCACCACACCCTTTCTTTGTACCACTTTGATGCGCCAATAACATCTCGAGTTGACTTCAAAACAATAATTGAACTGAGTCACTAAGTTACAGAGCAGGCAGTTTAAGTAGACGATAAATTCGAATTAAGTCTCAGCTGTCAAGAGTGGTGTTAACAAATGGGACAGAATTCATTAGCACGTTGGAGCTTCGCAGTGTCGTGTGCCAGGAAGTGTCATGCAGACGGGCAGAACGAGGCATACGGTTAAGTAATTTATGCAAGTAATGTGCGACTAAGTGCTGTCCCACATGTGCTTGAGCCCGGAATTTAGCGGTCATACACACAAGGCAGAAAATGCAAATGGTCAATTTCCGTAATTTAAAATGCAATTTTGAGAGATGGACTTTACCATACGTATAATTATCAATGCTCGGTTAATTAAAAGGGAGAATTAATTCAGCCAATGGTGCGCACATAGTGAACACAAACAGTAATTAGAGGAAGAGAGACGACCGCAATAGAACTAGTAAGAGAACGCGTGACAAAGCAACCATGATAAACCGCAGGAGTGAAGAGAAAGGCAGTCACTCACCTGAGCGATGATGGACCTCTGACTAATGGTCGGCTCTAAGGCCCCGAAGCTGTCATGGTCGACGTATTGCGACATTTCCGCAGCTCCACCTTGCCGCGGCAATGAAAGCCTACAAAGTAAAATGCGAAAAAGACCAGGCACGCGATGGCAGCGATAAAGTGGTGCCGATGACTTGAACCAAAGTGTAGTGTTGGAGGACTGCAAGAACTAGACTAAAGATGAATGGCTTCGAGAAAAACTTTCACTTTAAATAACAAGCCAGTTAAAACCCTATCTAAAGGTTACTTGATTTGATCAGCTGAGTGCTGGAGGGAGCCAAGAAATCCCAACATGACATCAGAAAATGATTGCGAGAAACGCTCTTGGTACTCGGGTGCATCAAAAAGCTGCAAGAGCAAGAGTAACATAGCAGTTATAATTCTGATTGGCTAGGTCTATGCAACTTTATTAGGGAAAGAAGAAAAACTTACAGAATTTTCTAAGGATGTTCGAGGCGACATGAGAGTCTTGCAGCGAGACAGTGTTTCCGACACGACATTTTCGTAAGTAAGTGGCTAAAAATAAGGACGATATGATACCATGATGATACTCTGAGCCTACAAATTGTAAACTTTGCCTGGACTTAGGGATTAGAAACTCAAATGCAAATTGACCTACATTTTTAAGTACGAAAACTACATTGAAGGGATCGAGTCAACAGGTTGATCCACTTAAACAGAATCACCCAGTGGTATTTTTGGGGTTGCAGCCAAAATTAACACCAATGAAACGTGGGGAAATTCGGCTTAAAAATTATCAACTTTTAGCAGTAATATCTGTAAAACAGAGCTAGAGGGAGGATTATCAATAAGGTACCATGGAAGTTGCTTCAAAACCGAACAGCTGACGACAAGCAATACAGAGAAATGGTCTAAACAAAGAAATACGGTAGCCATAAACCCTTCAACAACAAAAGTGCATAAGTACTGAAGTGATCAGAAGTTGAAGTGATATTTTAAGATAGAATGTCCGAGTGTTAAAAGCCTAGAAAGCGGCGCAACTGCCCCAGAAGAAAGAGTGACCTAAACGGAAGGGATAGAAGTGGGTGGTCATATTTGCACCGGAAGACAGTTATTTTAAATATGGTTGTCTTCCATATCACAAAAATATGATGGCAAAGACATGAAAATTAAATTATATATACAGGCAAATCAAATGGTGCACACTAGAATTTGATAATACAAGATTTCAAGAAGTGGCAGATACACCCTAAACAATTAAGTTAAACAACTAGTCTTCGTAGACGGAAGTACAGAAAACCTAGATTTCAATACTGCTTAAAGATGCAAATGTAGAGTATTATGTGTACTGCGTAATGAATGGGGAAAATGACAAAGTGGAGAAACTCACGCATAAACCGAAGATGCATTGTTTTTATGAGAATGAAACGGTAGATGCTAGTGCTAGTGCACGTGCAAAATAGCGCCGACTTCCCAAAATTAATAGACGCTTAAGGTTAAGTTAATCACGCCTTGTCAATAAATATGGTTCTTCCATTAAATAGTAGGTTAACGATGAAACTAAAGAGCTAGCAAGAGCCGACTTCAAACGCAAACAACAATTACGCTTCAGGAAAAGGTAAAGAGAAGCATATTTCGTTGAGACTTTGATTTGGTATTAGCGATCAAATAAAGGCGAAACTCACTAGTTGTGTGATGCTGCCACCGGTATCAGTAACCTCAACTTCCCAATTTTCCTTAAAGTGAAGTGATTCAGTTGCTAAAAGATAAAGAGGTTAAAACTCTCCTACTGACACAATAATGGTAGCATCGGTGTTCCTCATTACCAGCTTGGGAGGAGCGAAGCACATCCCGAACTGCATGTCGCCGCAGGTCATAGGAGAGGCGTCGCAACACGGCTTGTGCGTCTCTCGGCACAATATCTAGAGGCAGACTGAGGCAGCAGTTTCTGTACGATAGAAAAGACGATTAAGGGGAGAGAATAAGACAGAATATAGAGCAAGTAGCATCATTTAGGATACGTACCTGAACTCCTGTACACAGGTGGACGCCCAGCCAGAGAAAACAGCATCCAGAGTTCCAATTGGAGCCGGTTGAAGGACCGCTTCACGTATACAGTTTGCCAACAGGTGAACCAGCTCAAGATTCATCGTCTAAACCAAAAGGTACAATTAAGAAGTATGTAGTAGGATCAATATCCTAATTCAGCAGTGAAAATTATCCACCTGATACTTGGTCTGCAGTGACTGCGAACTATCGAGTCTCTCCAAAACAGCAGGGTTGGATTTGGATGATGCAGCTAGACAGACTGCTTGCAGACGCCAGAATTGAACACATTGAGTGGAGAGAAGATTGCAAGCTTGCTTCACTAGCTGAACCGCCATTTGCTGGTTACACGTACGACCTTCAAAAGAAATCACCTTGGAATTTTAAAATCCGGTGTGTGAGAAAGTGGACAAAAGAACCATAAAACTTGAGAAAGCGAGCTCGAATAAAAGGACGCTGAGACAAAATGGATAGTGCTCTTCTATTATACTACGTGAAAAAAGGTTTCTGTTGTTATAGATGAACTATACACCGACCACACTCACATGTAATAAAAGCATAATTGAGCACTTTACAAACGCCCAATGGCCTACTGAATAAATGAAAAAGCATTGGTTGAACACAACTGCCAACATAGGTAAGAAAGTAAAGAAGGAAATTTGGTACCTTTCACGGTGGAATCCAAAGGCGATTGGGAAGACGTCTTGGGAGTTTCCGATTGAAACGAGGAAGTCACTTTGGTCTCTTCTTGGCAGGGTTTTTGAAAGCTTCTTAACTGTTCAACGAGCCAATTTTTGAAAGCCTCTGCACATATCCAATATGGGTCATAATCTACGTCTAGCTGCTCAAGACACCTGCAATGAGAAATAGCTTATGAGCCACTAACAAAAGAGGTCTTGTTTAATGTAAAATGATAATAATTAGTCTACCAAATCGATGATCAAGTTATTGAGACGGCAACAAATTACGTAAAATGCACCAAACACAAGCTTATCAGGTACTTCGAATTGTGAGCGTAACTTCAACAGTCGAGAAGAGAAAAGTGTTATTCTCTATTGCACTTGAAAATTAAGTGTAGCAAAAAAAGTAATACGGAAGAATGAAGAATAAAGTGGTTGACTTTTAAATAGAATAGTTTAAAATGAATATGATGCAAAGACAGTTGCTTTCATGGGGACTTATGCAACTAAATATTTGAGAGAATGGGAAAAACTCAAGTACTTGATTCTTTTCATTGCCTCATCAACGTCGATGGGAACTTCCAGAAGCTCAGATTTCAGTGTGTCGCGAAACTGTGCCACAACATTCTCGATCTCCGCGAAGACTAAGTGACAGGAAAGGATCTAACCATCTAGCTTGAGGTATACGTGGCTAAAGCTCACAATACTGCTTACCTCGCTGGAAGGCTCCGCAATCTGAAGTTGAAAAAAGGGCCTTAGCTCGCTTATAATCGCTTATGGCGAGGTTGTATTCCCCCTGCAGAGAATTAAACGGCCAACTTGAAACACGTCTTAACGGAAGGGAACGGTAGTTGCTTAAGCTTTGACAACAAGACCCACTTGTTTGACAGTTTTCCGAATGGATTCGGGGAGACGGAAAAGAAAGCTAAAACGCTCCATAATGTTGAGAACATTACGGGCCGAGTTGGCGGCCTCACGACATCTCAGTACGTCCTTGAAGAGGTCATAGCCTTGGTTCCACGAATCTTACAGAATGAAGCAGAGGAAAGTGCTACGAGCATACAGAAGTAAGGAGGTTCCAAAAAAAAACAAATGAACTCAGGAACCCTTATGACTTAGAATTTATGCGAAACGAACAGGCTGTCAAGAGATTTGAGTGCGCTAGGGATATTGATGATGTGCAACAATAACAATTTGTCCGCAGTAAGAAAGCGTAATCAAGAAGGTGACCGAGCAAATTTACCAATAACTATCAACGCACGAGAATGAAGATTACGGCGAAAACGATTGGTGATAGTCGACGCAACCAGCCTTACCCGTGAGTTTCTTCTCCAAGCGTGTTTCTACGGTACCTTCCCCGATCTTCGATCTGGTTTTCTGACCTAATAAAACGGTAGACACTGATAGGAAACGTTGAGAGCCATAAACGAGAGCTTCCGAATCCAATCCAGTGGCAAGCATCAAAGCTAATCAAAACTAAGTGTACTGGTCTCCGCGAAAAAATGGCACAACAAAAAATGGAAGCAAGTAACTCAATAACAAAGACAAGGAAGATGCAATTTATGCAAAACCCATAGCAAAATTACCAGCCATCTAGAGGACAAACAACAGCTAACCTTCCAAGTCAGATAAAGACTCAGCTTCTAGAGAAAATTTCAGAAATATGGTCATAAATTGTGATTTAAAAAACATGAATACAGATTTCCAGAATGTCAGAAACACATTAACTCTCACCGCTTGACCTGTATTCATAATTCCCTGAAACATTTGACTTTTTCATTTCATTTCGCAAATCTGTAAGTAATCAGATGTTTTAGATACACGTGTCAAATTTGGTGCTCAAACAAGCAAGGATGAGGGTAAGTACCTTCAAGCCCTTCGAGGCACCGAAAAATAAGGTAGAGGTTGTTTTTTATGACATGACTTGAGTCATGGCCACCAGAGGCTGCTATACTTCGACTAAAGTTGTTTCGAGCCATCACCAAATCCTCGAAGCTAAGTGAATAAAGAAGCATAAGTTAATGACAAACTGTTTGCAAAATGCGAGCTAAGTTTTCGCCTATTTTTTGCAGGCCAAGCACCTAATTTGGACAACGCCAACATCAAATGCTATCAAATGGCAAATGGTATTGAAAAAGATACTACAGATATGGGAGTTTAACAAACCTGGCATTTTTGTAGTATTTGAGGAGGAAGAGCAATGGATCAAAATCCGGTTCGGACAGTAATACACTTCCACCACCTGTAAGGCGACCAAAGGGGACAACAGTACACGTCATCATCACTCTATGAGATTATATTACACAAAAACAGCTCCAAACGGTATGCAGGACCTTAATTACGTGTTCTCATAATATTAGTGATTTTTGCCAACTGTTATAGACGATAATTAAAAGCCGTTAAGCCAAAAGCGCAACTCATTTTCACTTGCAGGAACCAGTTTGTAAGCCAATTAAAATTTGTGAATTTGCGCCAACATATTCAAATTTCGTGGTGGGAGATACAGGAGCCTGCTCATGGAAAGGTAGTCGCACAAATGGGATTCCGAAGTGGTATTTTCCACTTACCACTAAAATAAGCATACTCGCAGATAAAAGCGGTCGAATAACAATGTATAATTCAAAGCTGCACAGAATAGTACTTGTTGAGATGACACACTGATGTGAGTTCGCGAGACAAGAAGCAATGACTATCGGACGCGAGAAAGTCTATCAATAATGGAACCGTAGATTAAAATGGATTTTCATAAGGCATTGAAAATCAACCAATAGCTACAACCAAGACATTGGGGGATAGAGCGCATCAGTTGATCTCAAAAACATCACCACCAAAAAAGATGTGAATAGGAGTGGCACGTACTAGGGTAGATTTTCATGAGAGCCGTATCAGAGAGAGGGATTCCGAGATGTGCAAGCTCGGCAGCAGGGAGGCCAGTGGCCGCGAGAGACGCGTCGACTACGTCGCCCCCACTTTCCTGTCTCGTCCCACTGCCCCGCTCAATTATGGCTGGGCACCGCCGCCGTTCGTCTTCTGGCCAGTAGCTAACTGGTTCTTGTGGGCCTGTCAATGTCGATGGAACTCTTATTGACCCAAATAATAACCAAAAATTGCAATCACAAGAAAATTAGCCAAGCCAATCTAATAAATTTGGCAACGACCAAATGGTAAGGCTCGTATTGGCGAATACAAGTCTCAACACAAAGCCAGGGAAAAAATTAGCAAATTGCGAATACTAACCCAAGAGCAGTCAAAAATCCATCAAGATAAGCCAATAATAAAGCAATTGTGGAAGTAACACATGCCTATTTTTTGACCAACATTCTGAATGTACGTCAGTTCAGAGGTGCCAATCCCACCAGATCTGGTAACGACAACGATTTCCAACTCTCCGGTTCCAAGCGGTGTGATGACAGAAAGTTTGCGTGGAGAGAACCAGCGTGCACTGGGAGAGACATCAATACCACCGACGAAAACATGTGTGAGATCAAGAGCTGACTGACCAAAATGTTCCCCTCGAAGTGTTAATTTTGTACCAGGAACACCTTCGATCGGAGATATGCCTGTCACCTGTGCCGGTGGTCCAGATGCAAACATGGAGCCTAAAACAATTATTATTTCAACAGCAGAAGCATCTCTAACCGATAATGTTCAAAACAAAACAAACACAACACTTCCAGATGCAAAAGGTCCTCACCTCGCCTCAGCAATCGCCCGTTGGTTAATTCAAACTAGGATCGAGAATGCGATACAGTTAATACACACTTCATATATTGCTAGAAAAATTAGGCGCACATGTGCCAGAATATATGGGAGAGTAGCTGAAATGAAATGCATAAAGGCCTGAACTGCTGTCGTTGTCGTTGTTCCCGATGGTTTATCTTTAGCCGTAAGAACAAATACAACATATTCGATAATTTTAAAAATAATTGCCGCAAGTTGTTGTTTTGTTGGTTACGACGTCGGTAATACTTTAATTGGCTGCCTGTGGCTGGGATGTCGGCGCCTGGTTCCAGTTCATCTGATGGCGTGATTGAGGCTCATGCCCTTCATCCTGTTGATACTAGCAGGGCAAAAGATGGTGTTTGGCTCGTTAAAGTTCCCAATTACTTGGCTGATCTATGGCTAAAATCAAACACAGATCGTACCGTCGGGAAAGTTGTTATGTCAACCGTAGACTTAGGAAATGGAAATAAAGAACAAAAACAGAGTTCAGACGTTCATCTCATAACTGATGATAGTCTGATTGCAGAGGCTGGCGAGAACAGTGAACTTATCCCGAAAGTGAGTTCCCAATTTGTTGGATTTTGTACCCTGGATCTATTTGATCTTTCAGCTCGTAAGCGCTGTTCCATTAAGCCTTTACTCTTGCTGTTTTTTCTAAGGAACATCAGTTTTTGGTCCAAACGATACCACTGCCGAATACGCCTCCTGGTAAGAACCGTTTTGGGTCCTCGCGACGCTCTTCCACGATGGTGGGCCAAGAGCTTGTCATTCTCTGTGAGGAAGATTCTCAAGCACCTATGTCTTTAAATGAGTCTGCATCGTCCTCGTTCCCTCCATCACAACGTGCACGGCCTGGCAAACGTTACTCCCTATTCGGACGAGTCAATAGTAGGGCTGAGTGCCAGCCACCCCCGAACGCCAACTACATGAGACTTAAGGCGCTGCAGGTTAACTTTTATCTGTGTTTGTATGCATTAGCACTTACTATGACTCCATTACTACTCTTGAATATTGATGAACACATCCAAATCAGTTGGTTATTTCTTTTAGTTAAAGGCCAAAAATCGTGCTAGACATGAAGTGTGTGTTCTGGACAAGCCGGTGCAAACCCACCTACCTGTTGCGAACCATGCATTCAATGTAAGTGCTTTTTTGTTAGCTCCTCTCTTAAAGCTGGCACCACAGCTGTGACTTCATTCCCTGGTTAGTCGCAGTAAGCTTTCCAAGCAAATTTTTTGGCGTGATAGAGAATTTATTGTCGATTATTGATGGCTTAGCTCCTCGGAAGGTAAATTCAGTTGTTATACTTTGTGTATGCAGATTGAATTTGGAGCACGCAAGAAGCGTGAAGGTAAAAATCTACGTCGCGAACGTGAAGACGTCCTTCAGGACCTATTTAAGGCGTTTGAGAAGCACCAGTACTATGCATTTAAAGACCTGCTTCTTCTAACTAAACAGCCTGTAGTAAGTTGTGTTACCATTCCTGCATCTTCTTCACCCTTTCTGAATTACCAACCCTATTCGCAAATGTTTTGCATACGTTGTAGACATATCTTACGGAAATACTGAAGGAGATTGCAGTTTTCAATTCCAGACCACCGCATCAGAACATGTGGGAGCTAAAACCCGAGTACCGACACTACACCTCAAAAGAAGACTCAACTGCATGAAGACGTATGTGACACCGAATGAATCACATTTCATTCATGTTTGTATGCATTGGTTTCCAGTTATTAAAAGGACGAATGCTACCGAATGGGCGCTTATTCGGTGAAATTACAGAATCAGCCATTCGCCTCCAAGATTTTTGTGTTTGTGAAATATACGAGCAAAAACGAGTTTATGAGACTCAATACAACTTGTTGCTATGGCGTTAGATTTGTAGTGATGTGGTAAAGCTTTATTGATTTAGAACCCGCGGAGGTGGTTAACAGTTTCGTATACTTCGCAGACGGGGATTTTATCCGCTAAGTATGCGGAAGAAAAAATCAATCTGAAAGAAAAATAATATTTTTTAAGAACTTTGAGGTGGTGCCGATGGATGTCCACCTGGGTGTAGAAAAAACATTTAGCAATACGATCAAATTTATAGTTCGAAGAATTACCTCCAATGAGGCATCCTCCGGGAGGTCTGTACAGTGAATTGCATTTTTGATTAAATTAACTCCGAATTTAGCGCGAATGGTGTTTGGTCTCAAGTAACGGGCTATATCCTGCAAGGAGGCAAAATGGTTTATTTCCAATAATGTTCAATTAATGGATGGAATAGTCCATAATGCGGGGGATGGTTATATGCATATGTGGGAGTGCGGGATTCGAGTTTGAGGAAAATCGCAGCAAATAGATTAATATAGTGAACCACAGCACTAGGACTGCGGTAAATGAGAAAAACGAAGCCAAGTTAACTAACTGGGTCCATGGGCCCCACAATATCACGAAAGAGCTGCTGCACAGATGACGGGTCGCCTGGATTACGAGGTGCATCACGGTTCGTGTCAGCCCGGGTAACTTGTAGAGCAACACACGGCCCCGACGTGAACTCAGAGATTAATTCGGAGTATTCAGCGAGAACACCCTTATACACCTCCAGAAACTCGCTTGCATCCACCTTCGAGAGTCGAAAGGCCTGTGCCGCAGTAATGCAAAAACCGTTTGATTGAATGGCTTCCCATATGTCACCAACTCGATCTAACATTAAACATACATCAAGTCAGCAAAATTGCGTGTGCATGAAGCAAATTAGCTAATGAATCCAAAAAGACGATAAGCTAGAGGCAGCTAGTAGGTCAACGGAGTGGGAAGCAATTATTCATAATAACGCATCTAGAACGGTTTAAAAACAACGATTATCACGATTCAGAATGGGAGATTTAAGTCAGATCCTTCTATCCTGTTGAGACTTAAGTATACACTAGAAACAGTTGAACTCTGATAAGAGTAAAGAGTAAGACAGCTTACGGCTTTGAACAGCATGTGGCTTTATAACCGCACATGTGCAGTCTTTAATGTCCAACAGCTTTCGGTTAAGCGAAGATGTTGGAGTCGAGAATAATATATGAGCTAGTTTTGCAGCAGATTCGGGAGTCTGAGCTGGCATAAACAGATCATTGTTGGCAAAAACATCGGTGTCTTTTGCGTTTGAACCATAAACAATTTCTTTAAGAAGTTTGTTCGCATCACGGCGCATTAACTCCAATGCAATTAATCCACCATCCGAAAGAATGCTTGTTAATTTACTACGAGTTAAAAGTATAGAAAAATCACTTAGGAACTTACTCAAGATCTTTACATTCACAAAAGTCGGCAAAATATTTCCTCATCTCCATGTTATTTAAATATAATATTTTAAGGTTAATTATTTTATATCCTTGGTCTTCGAAACTTGTGATATATTTTCCGGCATTACATGCACCCGAGGGCGAAATAACGCATACGCATCTTAAGATTAAGTAGAAGTGCGTCTAGCTTACCTTTCGGAATTACCTGCCAGAGCTTTTGCGGTGAAATCATTAGCAAAATTGACAACACATAAATGCCGCGACAAGATGTTGACGGTGCCACCAATGTACAAGTCCGAAAGCTTAACTTCAGGCTGTCTTATTCTCCTCAAGAACAGTCTACTGCGTTTCAAATCATGCTAATAATGCACATAAACTCCTCAGACAAAAAATACCATCTCTACTGAATTATCGTGCGGAAAGAAGTTGAGTTTGTATTTTTCAACCTGACTTGATACGTCCTTGAACCATTCAACAATGAATGAATAGACAACTGACTCATCCTACATTTGTAGGCATTACTGCTAGCTTCTTACCATCCTCAGCGAATAAAACCGCGCGGCGCGTGGTGCACATGAGTATTGAGATAGGCGTCTGTTAATTGAAACATCTCAACAAAGGTAAACCTAAATGGTATTTGGCATTATAAACCTACTATTGGCAGTGATCATAAGTTTGAATGAGGGCTTTGTCGATTACATCAGGAAGAGATGCCATCGATAGTAACTTCCTTTAGCCTCCCAAATGTGCTACCATTCTCCAAAATATAAGATTTCAGGAGCTATATTTTACAATGTATCAACTATATGTTTTTGCACATTTTATATGGATCGTAAACTTGGTTTGACTGCTGGTGACGGTTGGGGCTTTTAAACTGTCTACACTGCCGTCTACATTAGAGCTGGGTTTCGGACCCTCACAAAAAGCTAGCTTCCCCTTCCTTATGCTAAACACATGTATGCGCGCTAAAGTATTATTATCTCCAAGCCTTTTCATTAGGCATAAGACTTGCTTAAAATTTTACTTATAAAGGTTGAGCTTCGAGATGATTGCTCCACCTAGCAGGATCAAGAAAGTCGTCCAACTGACCGCTGTTTTGCAGACATTTGAAAAAGCGAAGTGTTTAACGATACATTCTCTTGCCCACTGAAAAGCCCTAAGGGGCTACATGCACTGTTTAGTTTCTGACAATTTTGGTGCTGGCGATGTATGCAGTAAATAGGCAATTCTTTCCATCTCGAAACTTATATTGACGAAAGGTATTAAGCTTTGGTAGAATGCTTGCACTCAGTAACTTTTGACACGGCCTGGACCGCAATATGCTCTGACACTTTAACAGTGCCAACACAACGAAAGCTGCCAAATTCGGAAGACAAAATAGCAGCATATCATCTACAAATTTCATAGCTTTTCTGATTTTTTGCCACAACTTTGTAAGTGATACGTCTTGCAAGCTCCATAAAGTAAGTTTTTATCATAACTTAAAGGCACGTTCACTGCGTGCATTGTTTTTGCAGCATATCTTATCACACTAGACCTCATGTGATCTACAAAGTCACAGTAATGTTGGAGGGAATTTGCCGCTGAGATAGTGAGTAGCTAAGGCTACTGGCATGTCCTGCAAGCCAGGCAACAGAACATGAGTGCAGGCATATTCAAACATAGAATTAACCACTTGCTAAATAATCGCGCGATTGCATTACAGTTGGAACTATGTTTGTGAGAAAATAGGTCGATCGGGGAATGATATGTGATGATAGTAGCAGGACCAAATCATTATATTGATGTGCTTACTGTTTCTCAGAAGAGTATTATGTTTAGCTTTAATCCTTTTACTCAAATTGGCTTTAAATCCTTGTAACCTGGTCGATCAAGGTGTACAGTATCTAGGCTGGAATATTGGGCGAGCATTTCCTAGAAAACGAGTGCAAGAATTAAAACTCTAACTTGTTATGTACATGTAAAAATACCCATTGAAGATGGAGAATTGAGAAGGAAGTAAAAGCGCCAACGGAAAGCCACAGTATTTGATTTACCGCTCAGAACGGAAACGGAATTATCGATAAAGAAACGGGAAAGTACACCAACACAGCCTTTGAAGTAGATGCGCAGGAGACTGTAAACGGGTTTTGTTCATTTAACTTTTATGTCAGCAATAGCCTGCTAATTGTCTGATTAGATAAGGCGTGAACGTGAGTTCGGTACAAATCCAGCCTGGTTTAAATGCAGCAGGAAGTCTCAAATGCAACTTTTTTACCAAGGAGGAAATAAACTGGCCACACAGTGTAATCATTTATGTTGATAAAATACTACGCGCTCGAAAGATCGCCTTCAAGTCCACTTCTGCGTAAAGGAAAGCCCATTAATATTGTCGCAATGCAGTAGGGCAAATGCGCAATAAAAATGACTGAGTTTGTTCAGGAATTTCACCCTAAAAATGCTTAATCGAAAATCTAAACCTTTAACAAACCATGAGTTTTGTTGTTCTGACCGGCTATGTTACCGTTGAGAATAAAAGTGGCTTCTCACAATCTTAATAAATTCCTGCTATTGTAGATTAAGCGTGTGTTCCGCATTAGACTTAAACAGGTTTCGAGTCGGCACTCGACACGGGCTTACTCAATAGAAGCAGGGCTCAGCTTTTTATGGCTTTTTTCCAGATTTTGGCGACTTCAGCCAAGACAACGATACTCGTTTTAATACAGTCTTGCATGGTCAAGTCTGGTGTTCTAATTTAAGTTTTCAGGAAGCGCGGAATTAAGCATCCTTGAAGCTGGTAAATAATCAACGCATTGTGGTGGTGGCGTTGGTGGCGGCAATGGCGGCAGTCTACGTGCGGTGACTGCCTCGTTGATTTTATCTGCACTTTGGATCGTTCCCGCGCCTGCATGTATCCACAAAGGGAAGGTCTGTCCCCACCGCACCACGCTAATCGGAGTTGGAGTGAGAAATGTAAACATTTTGATAACCAGCACAGGTAAAGACAATGTCGATGTTTTTGTTTTCAAAAACACGGGTTCGCGCAAAGACGAGACTCATGCAACTTTTCAAACATCACGAAGAAGTCATCGCATGCTCCTCAAATTAACCTTGATTATGCCACTCAGTTTTCATTTTCGTATAAACAGCGTTGGCTGCTAGCTGGTTATACGGCTAGCATTTGATTTTAGTCGCAAATCTAATCCCTCCATCGTGAAGGCGTGACATGGCATCTATCCCGCGTTTCGCTGACAATAAGGTTTACAATAAGGGCAAGTAAAAGTGTAAAACTTAAAACATTCTAATTGACTGCCCTGAAACAGGGCTTCGAGAGACTGTGTGCTGTTACAGGTTTTATGTTTGCCTACTGCGAGAGAGCGAGAGAGGAAATTTAGGTATGCAAATTCTGAGTGGAAGATTCCAAAACCCAGACCCTTGATTGAGCGGCAAGGTCGCCACCACGTTCCACGAGTTCACTGATTTGTGGACGAGAGGGCAAGACGTCATCCGCTCTTTAACACCGAACTGTGTCCATCTTTTGAACTGTGCGCCAACTAAGGCAAGCTGTACTGCATATCGAAATACTCAGACCTTCTACAATTAACAAAGGCAAATAATTTGGGTCATAATATACCGCTCACTGTTATGTTCGTAGTGCATTCGGAAGTGGTCCCTTCATCGAGCTCCATACCTCAACATTCGAATGATGAAGTGAAAACTCGGTTTTGAGCTGAACGCACATAAGTTAAGAACGTTAGATCGCTTGACCCTATAAAGTTATTCAAAGCAGTTGTTATAACAAGAACTAAGCATGAAAACGAAGAGGTCATCGACTTTGTTTTATTCACGAAGTGTTTGGTGCAGCATGTTTATAGTTTGTCCGCACACAGAAGAACTGTCACCTACTTTTTGTAGCGCTGCAGGTGGATGAAACGCGGGTGAACTCGAATATTTGCAGTATGCCTTTTACTGGCACAGGAGCGGCACCGCCAAGACGCATCACAACTAACGACTTCAAGCTAAATTAGTGATTCTTCTGTGTTCGCTGGACTGATACGGAAACTCTTCAGTTGCACATTGAGTAAACAAATTGCAAACAAGTGTGCTAATGACTTGACTTGCCAAGGTTATATGAAATTGAGGAATGAGGTGTGTGGGACAGTGCCAACTATTCTGTTTGAAAACAGAAGTATGAAAGTATAATTGCAACGGTGTTGGCGGCTAAGCATGAACAATCTAAGAATGGAGTAAAGTGTCTTGCTTGGAGATTCACCAGAGAAACCCGAACACGACTTAGGTTCGCTTAACACTTGTGTCTCAGTGATCAGCATTGGTAGGTTCAAACTGAGATAAAGATTTGTGCAATAAGTCTCTTCTAGAAGTTGTAGTATGCAAAAGATTTTTCAGTAATGCTTCTTCGTAGGAGTCTGAAAGATTTGACATCTTAACTTAATGTTATGAGTGCCTCAACAAATTTCACGTTTGTGTAAGGAGCAAGAACGGACGGAGAATGGGAATGCTGTCGAGTTCACAGAGCAGGAAGTCAACAAATGTCCTTTCGCAAATTCGGCATGCACTTCATGGCAAAACGGGTGCGCCATTAGTTGAGAAGCAGAGCAGAGCTGCAGCTTCAAACTGAACTCCAAGCCTAAGGATAAAGTTAAAAGTCAAAGATTGATGTGGTAGGAAACATTCATGAATGCTGATTCTGCTAAGCAGCATGAGCAAGGCACAAACATGAATAAAAGTCTTCAGCCAGATTACTTAAAGCCTATTTTCAAAGCTGTATTGACAATCGAAGAGGAACAGCCAGCTCCAAAAAAATGGCGGCTTGAAGGAGGAAGGGTCTTCCCTAAATTGTAGTTCAACATTTATACTAAGCACACTTTTATTGGAAAAAGAGAAGTTGGATGGTGTACGACGCTATTATTATTATTATTATTATTATTATTAGAGCACCACCCATTCTTCTTTTCGCCTTCCACCCGTAGTGTTGTGTAAACACGTCTTGATGCTTTGAGCTTTACTTTCGACGTCGTTTCTGATCAACGATAGCTGAGATATCACACTGTTATGCTGTAAAGTCGCAGGCATCCACATGGAACGGACAATGACCGTATTTGTCCAGGTTAACCTCCGTGACTGTCTGAGCAGTGCCTTATCTGATTGGTTGCGACGTTAGGACAGCACTTCGCATTGGCTGATCATTAGGCCTACGTGAGGCAATACGAAAACATTGCTGGAAAGTCGGCTTTCGTGAAATACGCTTCGCACTTCGGTTAGACTTGATTAGGTAATCCCTGAATACTTCTTGTTCAATGAGTGCTTCGATTTATGTTGAAAAAACTTATGGCTAGACAATTGACACGGTATGTTTGTATGCAAGTGGCTGCATGATTTTACGCATGCGTGATGCGAGTTTTGCATTTTTTCCAAAGCCTTGCCTTTCAAACAGCTCAACTCCATGGTGCCTTTGAGGTTTTGTTTTGTAGCACTTTGAGACTTATGCAGCAATGCGTAGGTTGAAGTGCAATAAAAGTCTCATGCATATTTCATGAGAGATGCAACAACTCTTCTTCCCCAGAACTCGAAACAATTATGCCTTCACATCGGACTACTCAGCGTGTGCTAGTGATCGGAATGGCTTTTTGCCTCCTCAGCAACGGAATCTGCTCGACAATACCTGCGGAGAGTAATGAAAAGGGTACATCGCATTTACCTATCTTTATCCATCAAAATTTACTTCGAATCAAATATTGCAAATCAATGTGTTGTCCCTTGCTGTCTACTGCAAAATTGAAATATTTGTTAACTTTTCTTAAGTATGCTTGTTGGGAATGTGTTTGACACTTTAAGGAGTCGTCAGCCGCTTTCACGTGTCTCTTTATAGCAGGCTTCTTCATGATCGTGATTAAAATTCGTTACAAAGTCGAACTTTTGTTCTAAGAAGAACTCCGATTCCTAACCCAAATAAGTGAACCCGGACACACTTATCCAACTGGTTGTTGTTCACCTTGTGCTTGCCAAAATGTTTATTTCTCCCTATTTACTTTACTGACGCTTTGAATCGGAAATGGGAGCGAAATTTGCAAGTTATGTGCTATTTCATCACTTCAGTTACTCTACTATACTTTTCATAAGGGTTCTTGCGGTAGAATTGCAACATCCTGAAGACATGGGAAAATGTAAAAATTCCAAAGATCTAAACATCCGTTCAGCTTCGCCGTCTTCCATCCCTCCTTTCTTTTAGTCTTTGCCGTTTAGTAATAGGGGATTAATCATTTTTTCGTGATATGTGTTGAAGATGCGAAAAAGAAAATCGCCAACGAATGTCCAGAGAGTTCGCCCTGGCCTTGCCGTGAGCCAGGCTTCTGTCTTTCATTCGACTTCATCTGCGACGGCGAGCTCGACTGTCCCGATGGCTACGACGAGGATCGAGAAATGTGCACAGCAAGTACGCAATTTTTTGCCTCCTTCTCTCTGATACACATATTCTGCATTGAAAACAAACCTCTTTCGAGCAAAATGCCCATCGGACGAAATGCTGACATCCAAAAAAACATGGGAGTTTTCCCCAAGCTTACCCTTACCTTAACTGCCTTTCTTAGTCTGAATAATTAGTAGATGCATGACACACCCTTAAAAGGTTTGTGAAAGCCATTTTTAAATCTAAGCATGCCAAAGTAAACTCACTACTTCCATCACCATTAAAGTAACAACTTAGTCCAAAACACCAGAGCTGCCTTTATTGAGTGACAAATTGTTTTATTCGCATTAACTCAAATGTCGTGTTGTCAAGTTGACTCAACAGTTTGCAAGACGTCGTGACGTCGACTTTGTGGCGAATCTCGCAGTACCCTGCGGTAGGAACGGCTTTCGCGTCATCGCACCTCTAAATAACACGGCATTAAGTTGCATATGAGATCTTGATGAATGGCTTGGCGTCAAATGCAGTCACACAAACAGAAGTGTTTTTTGGGTGATTGAAGTCACCCTTTCGAGATGACGAAGAGTGGAACTGAAATAGTGCTTACTACCATTCGATGCGTCGTTGGCTTTATCACGACGAGTATCAGGTAAGAAAACTGACAGTCTCTTGGAGACTGTAATTGTCATTGTGCCTGGCACTGACCACCTAGTCCGTGAAGGAAGACCCCACATCCAAGCACTCCTTTAGATGACAGACGACACTGAACGGCTCCTGTCCACTGGCAGAGTTGGAAAGCAATGCACTACAAACGGTCTTTTTAGTATGGGAAAAGTGTTTGTAGAGGGTAGAATAAGAATAGCTGCATGTATTTGTAGATGTTGAATGGAATAGGCGCCGAAGTCTGTTCTGCCAGGACGGACAAGCAAAAAAAATTAGTTGGGATATTTAAAACTTTTAGCTCCTTGTTGGTAAATTGGAAAAGAATAACTCCATTGCCATAGGAATGAACTCTTCCTGCGGATTTTATAACTTCCCTTTCACGAAGTCTCCAACGCCTATCTGTTCAGCTACATCTCTCGTCTTGTGGCCTCACTGACGACAATGTTATGTTGTAACTCGCAACATTCACGCCTGGAAGTTAGCCTTCCAAGGATCGCTAGTATGCATTTAATGCGGAGTCTAAGCGCACAGTCCACCGTCCTCCTTTTCACATGCATCTTAACTAGTTGAAGTGCCTTCAAAAGCTATCCTTTTCGTACGACTGTTCTCAGTTCTGCACAATCCCAAGCCATTTCTCTCATGATGATATTGCAGCTCTTGCTTCACTCTTTTGAGGTTTTCCCATAGGAATCCCTTATAAACATATTTTAAAGGGGTACAATAACGTTATTTTGTGGTAAACACTCCCTGAAACCTGTGGAATGGAGTAGTAAAGCCCATTTTACAACCAAGGCCCTCTACAACTTGAAGGCTCATTCTCTGCTCGCTTATCGACGATATTGCTCCTCAATTGAGTTGCAAAGACAATCAATCGTATAAATAAATGCTCAAAATAAATCTCACGCTATCAGTCAAGTTTCGATTTATGCAAACATAATGGCAGTTTTCTTCTCCGTCAAGAGCAGTGATAAGAAGACTCGAATCATGGCTGCGGCACCTCAGGAGACATTAACATTATTTGCTCAGAAATTATGCCTTATGAAGAAAACTATACCGCTTAAGTTAGTCTTGTTCAACGAAACCGTGACAAGGTGGGCAGTGGCGGCTCTGATGGTGATGGTGATGATGATGCAACGCCTTTTCGATGTGCCGATGCCACTAGTCTTGTTGTCCTTCGTTCTACTCTGTAGACGGAGAAAGTATCATCATTCTACACAAAATGATTGCCTCCATATCGTTGCACTTTGGTACTTCCCCTTTAAAACAAAGGACAAACGTTTAAGTCTGACTCAATTTTAAACTCTTGCAATGCATTTAATTTTATTCAGGTATGCAGCTAAAGAGAGTTGGCTGCATTGATGCACTCCCACGCACATTTAGCGTACCCAAACATTCTCAGGCCTCCTCGTGCCACACTTGAACCGGCAAATCCTCCAATGCCATGTTTGAAAGCGGCTTCGATTTTGGTCTATCGTACTGATGAATATGTGTTCACCATAGAATTTGCTTTTTGGATCAAAATCCAAAGAAATGCATCAAATACTGCTGGCACACTCAAAAAGAGTCAATGCTTTGAATGTAAATCGCATGGGGAAATTCGTTTTGTGTTTATAAGCGTGCATCTTCTTCACTAATGGCTTAAAATGCGCATTCATTTTGCCCTTTGTAGTGAGAGGCTTAAAGAAGATGTCGCAAGTAATCGGAGAAAGGTATGAAGGGCGCCAGGAATTCAAATAATAATGCATGTTTTGGCATGAAGATGCAAAGTAGTGGTCCTGGCGCCTCACCATTAAATTATCGTGATCCGCTGAATTGGTTGACTTACTCAACATTACTTGGAAACATAAACGCTATCTCTTTAAAGACATCGATGTTTCACCAAACGCAGTACAAAGCAAATTCAACTGAAACGATTCCAAAAGGATTCTTGCATCCAATTAACGTAATGAATTGCGAGTTGAACTGAAAATCCTCCATTAAAATTCAATAAAACTCGTTCGGGAAAGTATCAACAAAGTTTCTGTTAAACATTGCCTTCCGGTAATCCGACTCTAAGTGAATTGTTGCTCTGGCTGCGTATCAGACGTATCAACGTCCGTAACACCAATGACTCCGTGTGCCACAAGCGCTGGTGACTGCCCAGGAAAGGAGTTTCGCCGGGATGCACTGGACATGTCGAACCAAATACGGTCTGACTTGCTGTCTTTTTTAGAGCAAAGACCTCCCGTTGAATATCTCTTTCGCTTCATTCAACGATACCAAGACTGGCTGATCCCCACATTTTTGGGCGAAGGAACATCACTCGAGTTGGCTAAAAAACTTGTCGGTAAGCCTAACCAACCATGCTAAGGCGATTGTGCATTCAACGGAATAAAGTTGGTTTCATTCGTGTGCCCACTAATACAATGCTTATTTGTGAAGGCGAACATCACCGCTCTCTCTGGTTGCTCGCCTAATGAAGGTGATGGTCTTTTCTAACCTGTGCAATGATAGGAGTTATGTTAAACTCCAAGAGAGTCTCAGCAGAACCAAATCCTTTTACGAAAGAATTCCTTTCGTGTAGCGACATATTCCTTGGTTAGTTTTAAAGCTCCACGCATGTTGATGGTTTAAAACCAAATTGTCTCTGTCGAAGAAGGGTATTGAAGGTATGCAGCCCTGGTAGCTGAGAAAAATGCTTCTTATTCATCTAAGCACCAAGCATTCAAATGCTAGCCGCCAGGACTTAAGTGCCAATGAAATTTTGAACATTTGTAATAAAACAGCACACTTGAGACCACGTATCGCTCCCGTCCTCAGCGTCTGTCTTGGGCTAACTTCTGGGACATGAAAGTCCCAATTCCATTACATATCTCAACACGCAAGGTCACCGAAAAATTTTTATTGCGATTTAATTAATTAAGTTCGTATGGCTGTTCATTTTTAACTGCAGAATTAAGTGTCGTGGACACGTTTTTTATGACGTTCCACACTTCATTTTGCCCCTATATTCATACATTAAAGCGCAGGTGGTTAACAATTATTGCAACAGCTCTGACTGATTAACCGCTCCTGGTTAAAAGTGGTCTTTTTTTACCAAGTGCGAATAAGACAGTCCGTAATGAAAGACCATGGAGAAAGCAGTGCGCCGCTCTTTGTTGACTCTATGCTAACTGATGGGTGTGCATTGCAGAGAGCCCGACAATCGAGGACTACGCAAGATCTGCGCACCTGACGGAGAAGCAGTTGGTCAACCTCAATAGCTTAATCGAGGGTGTAGTGCAGCGCAAGGAGATGTACATGGTCCTCCTCGGCATGCCGTTGGGCGCCTGGTCGGAGCTTTTTTACCTCTTCAATCGAATCGTTAGCAGCGGTTTCGTCAGCACCGCTGACTCCATGTGATGCTCCTTAGCCATGCATACGCATACGCAGACAGCGCTCTAGCGCTTCGCTGTCGCCTATTATGTAATAAAATTATGGATTGCACTAAATCAACTATTTTTTCCCTTTTTTTCTGAACATCGAGATTGGTCTGTGTAATCTGTGTAACTGTAGGAAGCTCACACTGTGTCAGTAATTGGGTCCAAAGCTATCTGGAGCTGAATGTTTAGTCCTCATATCCACTTTGGCACCACTGACAGCCGTGCATTGCCACCTTCTAAATGAAGGGCAAGTTTAGGAACCCTCAGTACTTCATTCATCTTTTGCCATCCTTATCACACGTGTCTCATCAACTTCCTTCCGTCCTGATGAATAAACCTACCATGCATATTTAGTTAATTATTTTGCTAATTAGGCAGGAGATAGTTGCACTGCACATCATTTAGCTCTGATCCAGCACTTCTATGCACTGTGCCAGAAACTTAGGGGAGAGGAGGTTAGCCATCGTTTTTGGACAGCAAATGAGGCTCTAAAACTCGCTTTCGGTAGCACAAAAATTGTTTGTACCTTTCTGTGATTTAGTTGTGCTATACCCTAACACAATTAAACAATTCACGCACTCTACAAACTTCCGAGAAACTTCTAGGTTCCACACCTGCGTGCATGTCATAAAGTAAACATCATCTCCGAAGTCTTTGCCAGTTTGGAATATTTTCCCAATTTGTCCACCTTGACACACATTTCCAATCACCACTCCAATGCCCGAAAGTCGATAATTTTTGTGGTACTTCCCCTTTGTAGTACAAGTTAGAGGTGTGATGTGACAGAGAAGTGACTACCTGAATTTCAACATAGTCAAGGCGTCGCCTTCCTTTTGATGGTCAGTTAATGGTAAATGAAGAGATGCTCGAACTATGCCGAACGAATGTGTTTAAAAGCCAAACAGCCGATGTTCAGACCACTTGACTTAAGTGTAGCTCTCATTGGAAATTAGCCAAGCTGTTACAAGTTCTCCATTCTGCGTCTCGCGTTTCAGTGGGCGCTCAGCAACATTTATCACCAGGAGTTGCCATCCTATTTGTAATGTCGTCTGATTTACTGTTGTTGGCTCGGCCGCTTTCGGGCAGTTCACTTGCAAATGGACAATCGCAAAACATACTCATGTAAATGCAACCGTCTTCGAACGCTCACAGTATCTCAACCACTCGTAAAGACAAACCATGAATTAAACTATCAACAGTAATGGAGATTCCCAGCGTTTTATTAGCTTGCTTTCCGACGTTGCAGACACGCCCCTGATTCACCAACTTCCGTTTTGCTTGTCCAAGTGTTTTGCCGTTTAGAGGGGTGGGCCTTTAACCTTAAAAAAATTTGTACCTTGACAAAACAAATGTACGGACATGCATATGCGCAAGTGTGCACAATTGGTGCCTCTGCTCACAAGGCGCGCTGCAGTCCGAGGAGGACGCAATTTCAGCCGGCACCACTGACGGGTCATGTTCAGGCGTGCCTGTTTTAAAAAGGAATCCTCTACAACCTGCCTATCTAAGGTCGAATTAGTTGCCAATCAAGCTAAGATAATTTTTTGCAAAGCAAAAAATAATAATAATAAGCATTGAATTTACAAATATTTGAGGGCAGATTAGCGATAGATTTTATTGCATTGTTTTTGTAAGATTATTTGAGGAGGCTGAGCCGTCGGGTAAACAAACAGTGTAATTGATGTGGAAAAGGCTTTTACTACCCCTTTAGACTTGCTCTTATTAAGGCAATTACATTACTGCGAGCAAAGTCTCCCACAGTCAAGCCACAAGGGCTTTAAAATGCCTGCTTCATGGCTGTGTTGTTGGTGCGCTAAGGCATTCAATGTTTTGTGGAACACATGTACAAAGCCTGGGTTCGCAATTGCCTACCGTGTTTTTTTGTGACAGGTATGACAATCTTTAGAGTCCTAATGCGTGATACTCAACAAAATTAAGGTTGGATGTTAAGATAAAAGCGACTTCCACCTGACATTTTACGATAAACTAAATGTCCTAGCGACACTACAGCCGAATAAAAGTAGCTGAATCAACTAATCAAACAATTCTACAGTCGCAAACGCAAATTACTCGAAACCTTAAAGCCGCGACCAACGATAAACATTAAGTGCTTCACAAGTGTCCTTGCAGAACACCCTAAACAATAAGAACTCCAGTAGTAACCTGATCAGCTCTATTCCTGTCGTCTACCTCTATGAAGGCAAGAAAGCTCACAATCTCTGCATTGTAAGCCGCAACGCAGAGTCAGTTCCCGCCATCCGCTACCTATCAAGAATTCTAGTTGCTAAAATTGACTGTAGACAGTCTGATTTCTTGTTAACGCGAAAGCTACTTGTCAAAGACGGTTTAATAGAGTACTTTTTACCAATAGCATCAGCTCGACACACCTTCACTGGTGCACGAAAATCCATCATCTTCAAAGAGCTGCCCGTTGCTCCAACTTCTACTTCATATCTGCCACTCTCCTCGATTTGATCTGAAGAATGTGGAGTTTGTTA